TGAAATAAATTGCATAAAAGAGAATCACCTAAATTAGTGAAAGTCGTTTTCTGTTCTGGTGATGTTGAGTTTACTACTGGTCTACTAGGGAAAGTTGCAGAAAAATGTCCTCTCTTATGACATCTATAACATGTCGGTTCATTAAAATTGATAGAACTAGAATTAGTGAGCTTGCCTTGAAGTGATCTGCCTTGCGGTTCAAGTAAGGATGTAGAGATTGACTTTTCCTGAGCCTCCTTTATCCGAACTGCTTGCTTAGCTCTTGTTTGGTTTGTCAAGGTGCTTGAAATCCCTTTCTTGGGCTCAAAAACATTTGGTGTATACATCACGCTCCTTGACGTTGCTTGGTACATAGGCTTTGTAGTGATGTTGCTGCAAGTTTGGTGCTTCTTCACAAACTCTCTATACATCCGTGCCTTGAGATCTCCCCAATCAATCACTGGTTTGTTATTGAAGGTGTGTGCATCTTCTTTCGTTTAAACAATTTAGAGAAATTTGCTAAATTAAATCCATTTAAAATATATAAAAATATGGTTCAGAGTGGTTATTTGGATTTGGTTTAAATCGGTTAATTCGGACTGAACACCCTCAAAAGTCCAAACTCTAAACTGAACAACATATAAGTAAACTAAATCAAACCGGAAACATCATGATATTAAGATTAAGAAAACTAATTTTTAACAAGATTAAGATTCAGTTCGGACCACTCCATTCTTGGATTGTTTTTTTTAATCCAAACTGAAGTTTTCTAAACACAACACCCCCCCCCCCCCCGGTACTCAAGAGACACAACCAACATCATCTTGTTCATGAAAAAACGAAAAGTCGCATGGTAAATTTTTTTGCAGACGTTAAGAGAATCAAAAGCAACATGAGAAAAACGATTACGAAAAAGCCAATACAATCCCAATCTAGTCTTCTTCTTCACGTCGTGAGTTGGCGTGAAACTCGAACACTCCTAGGTACCCAGTCCAGCATCTGCTAACCAAATGAACATTGGGTCAAAAAACTAGGCAAACTACATTAGTTTTTGTCACAATGTATTTGATTGGTACAAGTAGTTCCACTTGATTACCTTGCGTTGATGTGCTCTACTAGAGAGATGCGTGGCGAAATTGTCAAAGCTTTGGAAGGAAAGACCAGGGTAGCCACCTGAGCAAACATGGCAGGAACATTCACCCGTTTCACTGCACTTACCGTCATCGAGTTCTCCTACATCTGTCGGAAGCGAAGGTAGCAAGAACTGGCCGTATCTAGGCAATGGTTGGAAGTAAGAGTCCTGATCGGATATGATCACAAAATTAGCTGGAGGTGGATTATTCTTGGTAAACTCAGACCTAAGTACCAGAATGTCTGTGGAACCTGTTTCGAAAACAATAGAAATGAGAGGCACTCTATTCAATACTGTAGAAATGCATAAAGATGACAACCAACCGTGAGGGACGTTCACAAGAGCGATTCCACTGGAACAGACTCCTCTCAGGATGTCAATAGGGACGTCTGTTAGTACGCCAACAGCATTGATGGTGACAGGACCAGAGTAGCCTGAAGTCTCCAAAAACCGTTTGATAGAGGGACAGACAAGACGAGCATCAACGTCACGGGGAACTGGGCACTTGTTGATGTCCCAAAACACGCATGTTACAGCCTGATGGTCTATCTCAGGAGGCTCAGTTGGTGGCAGGGACAGGGACTGATGTGGAACAAAAAAAAGTTTTTAAGCAGATAACATGGAGGCAAAACAAAACTAAAATTTAGATATCTGAGGAGGCTCACCATGAAAGAAACATCCTTGAGAGGAGAACGAGAACGAGAACGAGAATTAAGGGGAGAGGGAGGAGCATAAAAACATTCCGGTGTGTTCAACCAGTCCAACATCTGAAAAACAAATGCAATGAAGGGTCAAGAAAGGGGAATCACGGTTGCATACAAAATGTATTGATTTGGCTAGGATATGATTAATACCAGCTCTTGATGTTCTTCACCATAAAGATGCGTTTTTAAGTTTTCAAAACCTTTGGCAGGAGGATCACGGTTGCATACAAAGCACTCCCAGTAGGCAGAATCAACTGTTTCTGCTTCCTCCTCAGAATCTGATGATGCGGCTTCCAGAAGCCATTTCGCGATCGAATATGATGAGAAGGGCTGAACGAAGTTGTAGCAAGACCAGGGTCCGGATCAGATATCCAAATGATATTAGCGCGAGGTGGGTTCATCTCGGTAAATAGAGTAATATGATTACTGATTTTCATGTAACCTGTAAAAAAATAGAATATCACCAATTCTCTATGCATCAAATCAAATCAAATCAATTAGGATATTAACCAACCTGCGGGGAAGTGACTAAGATTGATTCCACCTGAATAGAGTCCTCTAAGGATGCTATCGGGAAAGTCTGTTAGTACGCCAATGGCAGTGATGGTGAGAGGTCCCATATAGCCATAAGACTCAACAAATCGTTTAATACATGGACCGACCATACGAGCATCAACGTCACGGGGAACCGGACACTCGTTCAGGTTCCATAACACCCCTGTTACAGCATCAGCCTCATCCGGCGAGGCCATCTTCATCGTTAAAGAGTTTTTATAACCTAAACCAAAAAGCAAATCGACTAGTCAAATATTTTCATCTACAAACGAAATCAATAAACAGGGAAAGCAAATCGGAGATTTACATGAGAACATAGGGTTGGGGTTGGATCTGACTCTCGACATCGTTACGATTGTAGCGAAACTACTTTCAGATAAGTCGGTATATTTATATATATATAAACAAATGGCAGGCTACCTAGGGTTAAGAATGGGCTTCGTTTTAATGGGCCTACAAGTTTTATCCGAATCGGCCTTGTGCATCAATCCTATATTGTTGGGCTGATTGGTTATGGCTTTGGAGTACACTGTTACGGTAATATAAAGATAAAAAAAAATCATCTGGAATTATTAGTAATTTAAATTATTTGATAACAAAACAATAAGTATGAAAGTGAAAAAATTAAAACTCTGTTTACAAAAAAAAAAAAAATTCGATGTGCAATTGCACAGGGCACAAAACTAGTAAAACAATAATTCATAAACAAAATAATGGTCAACGATATTTTCTCCATTCTCTGCAATATATACTATATTACTCCCCTTCTCATTTCCTCAAACACGTATGAGTTTTTTTTTCCTCTTTCTCTTTGATGAAAATCATTTATTCCCTATCTCTTTTATTTTTCTTTCTATTTTCTTAACATAAAAATGATTCAACTATGCAATCCCAATAGAAAAAATAGATTTTATTTAGCACATGCCATAATTTAAATTTTTGAAAACAGACAAATATTCATCAAAACAATAAAAACATATTTTTAAGTGAAATCTGTG